GATATATTTTATTATAAATATTTGTTTGAGCCTAATGAATTAAAGGGGATCAAGTCATGTTGACTAGAATCGACAATAAATGGAAGAATGTCAACCAAAAAGTCATCGGACATATCAGTCAGTAGATCGATTAGAGTGTCTTTCATCATGTATACGGAGGCTTGTGAACTCGAATTATAAGGATGGGCATTGTGTTGCTAAGAATCTCAATAATTTTCAAGAATTGTTGAATGAGCTATCCACCATGAATCTTCTACTCGATGACGAGGTGCAATCACTACTTCTGTTGAGTTACCTATGGACAATTGAGAAACCCTAGTTGTGTCGCTCAATAATTCAAATCCTAATGGTGTGATCAATATCAATATAGTAAAAGATAGTATGTTTTGATGAAGAAACTAGACGAAAAGAGCAGGGTATTTCTTCTAATTTAGAAGCACTAGCTACAAAAAATCGGGGGAGAGGTAAAATAAAAAATTATAGTAATGAGAATTATAAGTCAAGAGGAAGGTCTAATTAAAAAATTAGACAGTCAAGAAAGGGAATAAAATGTTTCCATTGTGCTAAGTTCGGGCATTATAACAAATAGTGCAAAAAGTGGAAATGAGAGCAATATTAAGAAAGATGTGAAGATAAAAATAATAATATAGTAGTTGCATCTAAGGCTGATGTGATTATTATTTGTGATGATGCATATGCTAATCTTCTAAGCCATGACTCTATTTGGGTAATTGATACAACAACTTCTTTTCATATTACTACACATAGAGATGTCTTCTCTTCTTATTCAAATGGTGACTTTGGTTGGGTTAGGATGGGAACTGAAATAAAGTATAAAGATTGTAGGCATTGTTGATGTATTGCTAGAAACAAGGATTGGGTGTAAATTGTTGTTTCATAAATGCGCTTCAACTTGATTTCATTGGAAAACTTGAGGATGAAGGCTATCGTAATCACCTGGGTGATGGAAAATGGAAACTTAGCAAGGATTGGGGTGAGGTCATGAGGACAACTATTGATTTGAGTAATCTTTCTCTGTCAGCTGCTTTGGATGGTGATATTTCTAAAAGAATTTGGAGAGGTAGGGATGTTTCTTTTAAGCACTTAAGAGTGTTTGGTTGCAGGGTATCTGTTCACATCCCTCATGTTAAGAAATTCAAGCTTGACAACAAGACTAAACAGTGTATCTTGTTGGGTTATGCACATGAAGAGTATGGTTATAGATTGTGGGATCCAATTGGTAGAAAAATTGTCAGAAGCGAAGATGTTGTTTTCTTTAAAGGCCGGACCATTAAAGACTTGAAACGAGCTAAAACTTCAAAGTTTTAAAATGAGAAACTTATTGATTTGGGTCCAATTTTTCCTTCACCCATTATGCATGATGATCACGGGGGAGATGTCTAAGAAGAAAAGGTTGATATAGTTGATGAACCAACAGTTGATGTTGATGAAATACCCATACTTGATCCTTTAAAACCAGAACATAGAGAACAAGTCCTTCCAGAGCCACATCAGCAATTAGAGCTAGCTCCTCCAGAGCCACCAGTTGAAACTCATTTAAGAAGATCTACAAGAGAGCATCGATCTCCCAGACGATATTCTCCAGAAGAGGTTAAGTTAGACACTTCGAAGGAGTGGCAGAAAGCCATGTAAGAGGAGATGAAATCCATGTATGAGAATCATTTCTACGAATTAGTTAGACTACTTAAGTGTAAGAAAACACTAAAAAATAAGTGGGTGTTCAGATTGAAGGTTGAACCAAATAGCTCCCAGCCCAAGTACAAGGCAAGATTGGTTATGTAAAGTTTGAGTCAGAAAAAGGGTATTGACTCTAGAAAGTCTACTCCAAGTTACCCGATTACTTATTCAGGGAGAGTAGAGTCATGGTGACCCAAGTTGCAGAGAGGTGTTGCTTTATCTACCATAGAGGTTGAGTATATCGTTGTCACTAAAGAAAGCAAAAATCTAACATTTCACTCAAGATTCAAGCATATTGATCTCAGATATCATTGGATTCATGATGTAATGGAAATGAAGTTACTGTAACTTGAAAAGATCCATATTGATGGAACGATTCAAATATAATGACTAAATCATTGCCCAAGGAGAAACTCAATGTTTGTTGAAGCAAAGCGGGCTTGATTGAGCCCCCCATGAGCTAGAGGGAGAAATTGTTGGGTTTAGGGTCTACCCCATGTGGGCAGCCCAATCCATAATTATGGGCAGCCAACCCATAATCAAAAATCTTTTATTTCTTACTAGTTGACCAAAAAGACAAAAAAATATATAAAATAGAAAAGAAAAGAAAAGAAATACGTGGGCCACCACATGGAGAATATCTATTCATATTAGGTTTGTAACGTTTGTTTTGCCATATAAAATCTTGCTTGGTGTTGGCGTGAAAAGGCAGAAGCAAGGACCTGCGTCAATAGCTTTTGACAAAATCGAGAGGAAGAAAACAATTTTATTGTTTGAGTAGGATTTTCGAGCCAAAATTCGGGCAGGTAGACAAAGTCTAATTTTCCTAAAATTCTAGTATGTTGTTCAGGACAACATAAACTACGCAGTGATCAATTTATTTTGTCAAAATCCTTCTCAGATTGATATTTTTGAAAGACTTAACAGGTTAGATCTCTTCTTGATTTTTTGTTAATATCCATCTTCAGGTGATGAATTATTGATACTTTGATAGTCTCTAAAAATTGTTTTGTGGAGGATTGTTGTAAACTGTTTATTGGAATATAATGGAAGGTTGAGATCGAAGTTCGTAGATGCACCCCAAATTTAGATAAACCACATAAATTTTGTGTCTTAATTGTGGTTGATTTTATTATCTACTTTATTTGTTGTTGATTGTGTTTGGTACATCATCTATTTAATTTGCATAACAAAGAGTAAAAAAAATAATTTCACTAATTTTTACGACTTCACCCTATCAAATACGTATTAATAGACTAAAAGTCTATGAACTTAGTTTTAATAGATTTGAGTAAAAGGAGAAGGGCTCGTGGTCCTAAGATTTTTTTTTAGAGGTTATATGTATCTACTCGAATAAGATACACATTAAATCATTCAAAATGACATACTTGGAATATTGATCAACATTGTAGATCTATTTGGAATATTGATCAACATTGTAGATCTATCTTATTTAATTGAATAGGATCAAAACATAGATGCATGTAACTCTAACCCTCAATGAGTGAATTTAAGAAAACATTCCTACATTAATTTTTATGGACCTTGATCCTAACGTGTTTGGTTGTGATTTCCACACATAAAGCCTTCAAAATCTCTATATTTTCCATTCTCTGAACTCTCCTTAGCCTTCTAGGGTTGCAAATTGTTGAAAACTGACCTAAAGAGTATTTATAGAATCAAAAATTATTCAGTCGGCACAAGCCTGATCACTGTTATGTACACACTCAACGTTTAAACGTACACCAATTTTTTGCCTAAACTTCCAAATTGATTTTGGCCTAATTAGAAATCGATTTACAAATATTTATAAAATTTACTTTTGTAGTTTTTGAAGTCTAGTTTGTGATGTCTAAAAATCAGATCAATCCAATGTCTGGATAAAAAAGTTATTGTTTTTTTTTTTGTGTGTACATCAGAAAAGAGAGAAAAAATTATAGTTAAATTATTAAGGTAGTATCAAATCTTTTCCTACTTCCTATCGTAATATCTTGCACTCATCTATTTATCTTTACTGTACCTTATATCAACACTATAAATCATAATTTACTGTAATGCAAATAAATATATGGGAATTTATAGATTCAAACATAAAACGATATGTTCGTCCAAGGTGCATGCATGGCAAATGGAACTGTGGTGTCAGTAGCTTCACCTGATTTCCATCATATTGCAAACTTTTTTCAGTTATTTTCATGGGACAAAAGGAATATTCACCCCTCTAGCTTGATCTAGTTTTGTGGCTTTCTGTATGCTATATATATTCAAGTAGCATGGACAATCATATTTGACCTCATGGTTTAGCTTTATAACACTGGGAGATCCAATGTTTTTTTTTTTTAAATAAATCACTTACTGTGAATTCAAGTGGGACTCGAGCATAAAATAAAATATACTTGTGATCTTACATCAAATCTAATGACAATACACTAAACTGTATATTCCGCCCGCAAAAAAGGAATCTAGCGTGCCAAAGTCAATGACTACGTTGCCATTTGGGAACGCTTTTTTAAAAATAATTTTTTAAAATTACAAAGCAATTTTTCCAAGAAAAAAAAAAATATAAATTTGATTACAAGTGGAAATCATATTTATGCATTGTAATATATTAACCACGTATTTAAAATTTAAATGTTACAATATTAATGTTAGATTTTTTGAATTATATGGTGTTTTTAAGCGCAGATTGTTATTAGTTGGATTATATTGGACTTAGGTGGCGATATTACATGTCAAAAATGACATCAACTCAAGGGCTTTGGGCATTTTAAACACCTTCTGGGTCAATTGGGTGTGCCTCATGCCTATAAGTGTTTTGACTTGGGAACAAAAAAGTCTAAGTCTGTCTACACATAAACACACATAATTTCTATCACCCAAGGATCGCCCGACTAAGCTGGCAATTTGTTGACCAGTCACCCCCGTCCACTATTTGGTTGGCCAAAAATTAAAAAAAAAAAAGTTAAAACGTAGTTTCATGTAAATTTACCCAAATCTGACTTACTCTCGTATGATCTTGTAAAGAAGCCGAATATGGGCTTGCTCAATCCAGGCCCACTCAAGGCCGAAATTGTTTTCAGTTCTGTTCCAAATCTCCCATAAGAGCCCAAGTATAAAACCGAGCTGGGCCATACATAGAAGTCAACAAAACATTTCGGCGTCATCTGTTTCCAAGCAACCGGCCATTGTAAATTGTAATACCAAACCTCAAACCCCCCAAACAGTTCTTGGCCATACAAATGCAAAAGACTTAACACCTCGAGTCTTGATTCTTGACCTTCAATTCCTACCCATCCTTCATCATGGACCCACCGGAGTTTTACGCCGGCGGTAATCCATCGCCGACGAGAAAAGAGCTACAGGGTCCTCGTCCTACCCCTCTCAGAGTCAACAAAGACTCCTACAAGATCAAGAAACCACCAATAGCCCCACCAGCTCGTCCACCACAGCCGGTTGCGACCACCACTGAGAACCGCCAGCCAGTCATAATATATTCAGTCTCTCCAAAAGTCATACACACCACCGTGAGTGATTTCATGAATTTGGTCCAGCGTCTGACCGGGTCTTCTTCCACAGGTGATCCGCCCGCCACTACAAGCGGCGGTGATATTTCTCCGGCTGCCAGGTTGGCTTCAATAGAGAAGACAAGTCCTTCCCCCAGAAACAAAGAGAGAGAAAAGGGTGTTGATCTTGTTGGAATCGTTGAAGGGGTTGAAGTGGGTCAGATTCCGGGAATACTGTCTCCGGCGCCGGCTACTCTGCCGCCAATACCATCTGGTTTCTTCTCACCGGGATCTGACCCACATAGTGTTTCATTCTTGCATGATCTGAGCCCTTTCATGTATGGGAACATGTTCATACCGAGTCCTTCAACATTGTTTTCAGCTCCAATGGTTTCACCCTCTCCCTCATCGTTAGATCTCTTCAACCCATTCTTTGACTTTTAGCAGGGTAATCTACAGAGAGAAAAGTGTGGAATATTGTGTAGATTCACGTAGTAACTTATTTTTTTTATCTACGGAGAGAAAGTGTGGGAAACTTTTTTGTATTTGGTTATTAGGCCTTTAATTGTGAAAATGATTGTACTAATTGGTTTAGTCTAGTATAGTTTAGCATATGCAACTTCTTGGTGTAGTTTGCTGTTATTTTGGTGGGTGGGGTGGGGTTCTAGTCCATAATGGTGGTGCTATATCCCAACTATCTCTCATGGTTTTCTTTGCGTAATGTACTTTTCTGGTTGTAATTTGCCATTTATATTGTGAAATTACAATTTTTACCTACCTTGTTAGATTACTATTTTAATAAACAATCTACTACTGTAATTTAGAATGACACATCTACCAAGAAGGAAGAAAACCCGCATACATAGGGATGAAGAGCAATTCAGATGATAAATTAATTTTGTCAATCAAAGATGACTAACTAACTTAAGTCCAATTGGTTTGTAAAATTATTTAAGCTCATATTGTTAAATATGGTTAGTGTTAAGTTTCAATATTTTTTAGTCCCAAAGTTGGAAAATCAAGAGTTTGATATTCATTCGAATCTCTGTAATACACGTTTTTTCATTTCTTAGATTTTAATAAGACTCATTTCAATTACCTCATTTGTTGATACGAGATGGGTGATTCAATACTTTAACAAAAAATGAAAAATCTAATACTGAAGAAGCATTTGATTATTCGAAAAACTATACCACACATAATCTTAGAGATTTATTTCCACTAGTTCTCCGAAGTCCTAAATAGAAATTCTCTGAATGGCAAACTGAACTCATGTGTTGTGTCAAGATGGATATGTGCTAGGGAAGCTCTCTCTCTGGCTTAACGAAAAACAAGTACAGATTCTCAATCTAAGAATTACCAACTATATATGTACACATTAATTCAATCTTCTTTGTAAAGAGTCAACTGCATAAATCCTTTTGTTCTATTAAAGAACACATGAGTTTGTTTCTATTTGATCTTGCTCTATCCCTTTAATTACAATTATCAATTATCATATCACTCTTTCTCACTAATGCAATAAATAATCAAACATATCAAAGCAGTTTAAGTTAATTCTTTCTTAATTTATTTTTCACAAACATTTTCATTTTGTCATCCTATTTTATAATGTGTTGTTTCTTGGTCCCCCAACAACGAGTAGCAAAGTATTATCAATTAGATGCTACCAGACCTATGTGCATATTTCTAGTCCGAATTTTCCTTTCCATCAAATGATAATGAATTGAATCAATGCAATCCATGTGAACTATTTGTCATTTTTCCCTCTATGTATCCAGTCAAGGTTTGTCCAATTCCGACAGTCACGCATAGAGATACCTGTTGATAGTTTCATGCATGTGTTAAGAGTGGGAGGGCAAAGAGACGAGAGCAAAGTGGATAGTAATTCATCTATGAAAGGTTGAACACTAAGAAATCTCCTCGAAACTGTTGAAATTTGTTTCATCAAGAAATTAACAGATGCCCCGCAACTCAATGAATTATTTACATTATCAAAATTCAAGATAGGTCTCAATCCATGAAGCAGTTTGCTCGAAATCACTACTTTCAAGTCCACATTTCATCTTCAAAAATTATACACCAACCCCAGAAAGCAATTGGTGCCAAAATGAATTGTCCTCGAGCTGCAAACAACCTCCAATGGCAGTACAAATCATTCCGTTCAAGGCCTTGCTGCAGCTGATTTCTATGCTGCACCAATCAACGTGCCAACCCTCTCTCCTCTAATTGCACTTGAAATATTACCAGGCTTATTGAGGTTGAAGACGACAACTACATTGGGAAAAGTATGCTCAGAATAATTAATGCTTCGACTGCTCAGACGAGGAAAGGCAAACAACTTCTAAATGATGTTAGATGATCTGTCAATAAGAAGAAATTAAAGGCAAACCAAATTAAAGATAGATTTTTGCCATACCAGGAATGTTATTCTCATGGCACAAAGTAATGGCAGTCATGTCCATTACTGAAAGTTCTCTTGAAGTTACATCATGGTAAGTTAAAGTATCAAGAAGTTGAGCATTTGGGTTGTGCATGGGGTCATCATCATATACACCATCAACATTTGTAGCTTTCAGCACCACCTCAGCATTAACTGGATTAACAGTCAATAATGAACTATGGCGTAAAACAGGGGGACCTGTCATTAACATAATGTGAATATGCCCTACGAAGTATATGCCACATAAGTAAGAAATGCGTAAAAACAAAACTTTTCAGAGAACTCCAAATTGTCTTTCAAGTGGATCAGAAAGCCTTCCATTTGGATGGAGTATCCACCATTATTTACTATTTAGAGTTATGTACTACATCGAACACGATGTCAGCCACTTAGTCTAAGATGTGTGACTTACTCTCTGCACACCGCAGGGCAGCAGCAGTGTCTGTTGTGAAGAAGGGATTTCCAGTTCCAGCAGCAAAAATCACCACCCTTCCTTTCTCTAAATGCCTAATAGCCCTTCTACGTATATATGGTTCGGCAACTTCAGACATGCGAAATGCAGTCTGGACTCTAGTTGGGATGCCAATGCTTTCCATTGTTGCTTGCAAAAAGATAGCGTTCATAACAGTTGCCAACATCCTGAAAGAGTAGTAAAATCCAATGTAACAAACTCATTGGCAGCCACATCTTAGAAATGTCCAAAACCTTAAACCTGGATTTGCGCATTTTATCAATTAAGTTATCAAGTCATGATGCAGTTGTGTATTGAAATATGTAGAACACACATATCCGCACACATGACACTGCACCCACTGAATTGAACACATAATAACTAACAGGCTATGAATACTGTATTTGTGATGCAACTAGCTAGTAATTCAGAATATAAATGGTAACATCATCTAGCCAGCAATTCAGAATACAAATGTTGTCATCATTAAAAGAAAGTCTAAACTAGAAATACCAAGCACCAATGACCAGCAACCTATTAGTTCCAGCAATAGCCTAGATTAGCTGGCAATTTCATGCCAATGTAAAATGGCTCTAGGATTAAAGTATAGCAAGCATCTAGAGTGGAGCTATCGCTATAGAGTTGAAAACCTCACTGCAGAGACCAAACACCGAGAAGATAACCAACTAAAGGCAAAGAGAATCTCGGCATCCGGATCATTGTCTGAATGGAACAGCAGAATCTGCCACATGCAAGACTAGTCAACCAGTATGACTTAAACCATAAAAACTAGCCATTAGGCGAGGCTGGTCAACCAGCCCTTAAGCTAGTCCACTAGGTGAGACAGATTTTACAGAAACTCTGGCCGTTAAATATCCGTTGCACCCAGTCATTATAAATAGTTCTCATCGGTGTTGAAGTAGAACTTGATGGATGGTTTGAGAGCCAAACTTGTATATACTCACTAGCAAACATCTTGATGTTTACATCATCGCCACCCCATCCAAAGTCCCACTTTTTAGATTGCACCCAGTTGTTAAAAATAGTTTTCACCAGTTTCAATGTAGAACTTGTAGTTTGAGAGCCTAACTTGTAAATACCCACTAGCAAACATCTTAGATGATTAGGAAGTACTCCGTTGATTTTTACAGCATCCCCACCCCATCCAAAGTCCCACTGGCTTGAAGAATTGGAAGAAAAAATAGCTGCAGCAGTGGACTTCTACCCCTTTAGGGCTTGTTTGGTTGTTGTATTGTAAAAGAAATCATTGAATTAGGTAATACAGGAAACAAGAATACAACCCATTGTAATCTCGCGTTTGCTAAGACATCAAATAACATTAGTATAAGAGTGGGATAATAGCTATTAAATCCAAACTTATGTTTGGCTAGTCCACTGTCCCATAATACTAAATAACTATTGACCAAAAAGCAATCAATCTAGTTTAGTCCAACTTATCAGGCTAAAGTGCAAAGAAAAGCGTCCAATGGCCTGACCAACATAGCTTTAGGATTGTGGCGGAGCGGTACATGATGGGTCAGTCCGACTCATAGATAGAAATGTTTGGTGTCTTCGGGCCAACTTGTGGGTTATGAGCCTTTTTCCAAGGCTTATATTTATTAACATAATATGATTAAACTAGATTATAATATCACCTCTTCTGGTGGTATTAAAATTGGCTCAATAATACGGATAGTAAATATTGACATTATACATACATGAAACATATTCAAAATACACCAATACATAATATGGAATGACAACCAAGTGTAATATAAGGTTGGATTAGAGAGCTTTAATCTATTATAATTCCTCAATTCACCCTTTTAATACAACAACCAAACAACCCATTAGCATATTGAGATTCATTCTCCATACACACACATTTCATCCTCACATTCTCAAGACAACTTGGCTCATTGAGATCATAAAAGACCTTGGTGGTGCATTGTCAAGTGAAGTGTAGGAAGAAGGTTTTTAGTTAGCCTAAAAAGTGCCAGTGGTGAATAGGTTTTGCATGAGCCTAAAGAAACCTTTGAGTTGTAATGGATGTAGGTGAGGAAAGATATAATTCTTTCAACAAACACTAGTGTAAGTCTAATGTTAGGATGAGGATCGGGTGTAGGAGCCATAGAAAACCTTCACATACATAAAGGAACTTCTAGATTGTTAAATGGATTGGCCACTTGTAGTACACTAGATTGTCGGTAATCCTAGAAAACCTAGTTAGTGAACTAAAGGCATGTTTAGTTTAAGTATAATGCAAGATGAGATTGGACAGTGGAGTAAGGACATGTTTGGTTTAAGTATAATGTGAGATGTGATTGGACATTTGATTCCATTTCAACCCATAGTGGTGGGAATAATTGATCAACCACTTTATCTTATCCCAACTAAATCATGTTTGGATCAAGGTTTGGATAAATTGTGTGACCACTATTCTAAAATCAATGTCGTGTGGATGAAGGATTAAGGTATGACATAAGTTGAAAAAGAATAAAACACCTACATCAATGCATAGATCTTTAGTCTATAAGGCACTCTTATCATTTTGGATATTAATACCGATCATGTTTAATTTAATACCACCTATTTTATGGTATTGGTTTATATCAAGTGTAGGGTGTTAATGCCACTTTAGAAACAGGTCGGTCGAAACAGATCTTTAATATCGGGAAGCCAGGAACTATAACTTGACCTAAACTTGGTATTAAATGACGATTGAACTAATTTAGTCCAATCCTAGCATTCAATACCCCAAACAAAGATGCCTTAAAGGTTTAACTAAGGATGCCGGAGGAGTGTATGTAGGCTATAGCCAAAATAGTATATATCATGTGTTGCAGTGTTATTAAATTATGTTCTCTCCAAACACGTGTTAAAGATATGTTAGATTGCATAAAGAGCTATGACTTTTATAATTAACTTGAAGCCAAGTTTGAATCTTAAACTGCTAAACAACTTGGAGACCTTGAATGCCTAGCACACACACAGTACAACATTGTTGCATGTTGATCGTCATCAACTACTTGCGTTGACTAGGCTAGTTAACAAGTGCAAATTTTGTATTGGATTCAACCTAGCTAACTCAATCTCATTTAGAGTTGAATCAAGTTTTCCAAAAAAAACATGTGGATCTAGGAAATATGTAGAACATGAAATGCAAAATATTATTAACAAGTCAAGATGGCTTCTCTCTCTGACTTTATCCCTTTAGAAAATTTCTCCACAGGAAATCTCTGTTGAAGTTATGGCTTAGACAGATAAGATCAAAAAGACACCTTCAAATGTGAAATAAAAGCAGTTTTCTTCAGGTGATTTCCAGCTCTCTCCATCCAAGGAGCTCAACATTCAATCAAGTGATGAATTTAAGATTATTTTGGAGGATCTGACTCTTCCCTAAAGCACTCCTCTCTCAAGTTTCAATGAATTATGGATACGTCTTGCTCCAAGGCGAGCCTTCAGGCACATCTCAACCACAACCTCTGAAATATGATCACAAAATAAACCACGTGTTCTCCCCTTCCCTCTGCCAACTAATGTAAAGAAACAAGTTCCCAATCAGACTCTAAATATGTCAATATAGATAAAAGAATCAAATTAGGGGATTGCGGCACCGGGAAGCCTTCCCTCCCTAAATGTCTAATTATAGGATTTTTGAAATATTTAATTGGCTTCAAGTAATCAAAAACTGCCACATGTCTACATACTCATGTTTGTAACCACTTATTTGTATTTTTTGAAGAATTAATTATTACTTTCCTATAATTGTTCCTCAAAATTCAACCATTCCACCGGTAGTTTTCTATGTACAATTGTGGGATGGGGTGGGGTGAAGAGGGGTTGAAAATTCTATGAATCACACCAGGCCATCATTAGTATATGTGTGCGTGTGAGCGTGTGTGTATAATAGATAAAACAAAAATTCTATGCATAGCTTCAAGAGCTCTTGTTATCTTCAAAGTGGCAAACTGTGGGGTTATTCATCTGCAGCTTACTTCCAGCCCCAATCATGTATCAACAAATTGACGAAACATGATCTCTGTCAGCTTAATGTTCACATTTTATTTCAAAGGCAAAAGAAAGAAAATGTTCAAATTTGCATGAACTGGCTTACAAGATATGCATAATGGTTAAGTGCCTTCACAATCTTAAAACCACCATGTCAGTTCTTACACAGGATTTCTAAGAAAGGAAAAGCATTGAATACAAATTAGAAAGAAAAATACCCAATGTAATCAGCTGACGAACGGTCAAGGCCGCTGCTTCCGGCCCAAGAGGATCCACGGAAAATATTTCCTCCACCAACTACGATTGCAACCTAAAACATTTGCCAATGATAAATTAAATGACATGCCCATTTTTAATTGAGATACCATAATTCAATGCTTATAACAGGACCTATTACAAATAAACTACATATTTTTATTTAAATTAGAAGTCATTAGTCAAAGTTTTGTGTCACACTATAATATAAAAATCAGCCTTTATTGTGAAAACCAAAAACTACTGACAAACTGTTGTGACAGTTCAGCACAATAAACAGGGTTTTTGAACTCTGCCTGAACCGTAATATCTTTATGATTAATGCACCAACTCCAAGTTATTTTGAGCATAAAGTGCTTATATCCTCACATGCAAATTTCCGTAAGTGATAATGAACAAGAGAACAATATTCAGAAGGAAAACATATGAAGAAGATTAAGAATCCATCAAATAGGAAAGAAAGCAAACAAAATAGAGTACAAAAGGCTAGCTCAAACACAATCCAAACAAGGGAGACCTGTGTCCATAAAAATGTATTAGCAACAGCCAATATAAAAATGAAACCACAAAAAAAAATATTTTGAAATGGTACAAGCATGAAAACCAGAAGTATTCAGAAGCAGGTTTTGAAGATCTACCTCAATGCCAAGCCGAGTCACAGTTGCAACCTCCCTTGCAATGGCCATTGTAACCTACATGGTAAAAGAGTATCAAGTTCTTACAGATTCGGAAAATAGAAGTACAACAAAGCAATAAGAACAACTATTTTTCATATTTCCAACCTTTGGGTCGATATTTTGGTTTTGATCTCCTGCAAGTGCTTCTCCACTTACTTTAAGCAACACACGACGCCACTTATATGATGGTTTGGATGAGCCATTTTCATTCATTGAAATGCCAAAAGGAGCCATAGATGATAGTTGAGGTTGCCTATTCACAAAAGGAAAAGAAAAAAACGGAAACAGAGAAAATGATGCTACCAAAGTAGATAGCATGGTGTAAGAAGGAGCATGAAATATTAATCAAGAGTAAGACAAAGTTGTGTAAGTAATACCTCAATGACCCATGATTACTAAAACAAATTATACAAGATAATGACGATGGAACATTGGTTTAGAATATGACAACTACCTGTAATTACTAATATGAGTGATTTCTTAATGTCTAAAAGCCCGATGAAAACATAACGCAAAGGGATAATTACAAATTCAGGAAAAATTGAGCTAAATATCCTCAGAGAAAAGAAATCGATTGCATAGGTCCTCTCCTTCAGCAAGGTAAAAGGAGTTCACTTTGGTTTTAAACTACCTGGACTGAGAGTTTTGTTATTCATATTGATCAATATAAGACGTTTATACTCGGGACAAAAATGTATAAACTGAAAGAGAAAATTGAAATTATTTCACTGCCAGCTCCCAACCTAGTGTAAACCATCTAAATCAATGAAAATAAATGAGAGATGGCAGAAGAGGGCCTAGCCAGACATCAACCTTAGCCAGCATGAGTCTGTGAGTAATGTTATGGTTGCAATTCGGCACACAATGTAAAAGCATACATACACAACAATCCCACCCGGATATAGGTAACTGCATTTTTTTCTTATGGTATTACCCCTGCTCAAATAAACTACGCTGAACAATATATGAAGGCGTGATTCCATTTTCTCTCTCAAAAGGCTACATGATATATAATTAGATGAACGATCCAGTGTATGTGCCAAATTTCAAAATTATTATACCCCAGCTTCCAACCTAATGTCAACAATTCAACACTCTGATTAATGCTGAGCACTTGGGAGACTGATAGATTGCAAGAGAGGACCTCCAAGACGTAGGTAATTGCATTTTTCTTTCAGACAAGTTGTCATTTCGGCATTGTATAACATTTGAAGGCAGAACTGCCGTTTTCTCTCCTAAATAAGCTACTAAATGTACCAACATTCAAAAAGTCAACAAATTTTGCCAACACGCATGCACTGTTTAACAATTTGTAATTGGAGTCATGGACATTATTCCAAAAATTGACTGAAATAATGATAACCACCGCTACCAATATCTAGAATACCCTATTGTTTCACATTGTAAATTAAACAAACATTCACAACGCATAATTTTTTGCAAAGTTTACAACCCAGTGCGCGCGTAATTCGTCATACACTGATGTCCAAATAAACAAAGAAGGTGAAGAGTGTCCATTGGTACCTGATATTCATGGGGTCGGAGGTGTGACCCATATCAGAAGAAGAGGAACACTTGATAACCAAAGGTTCATATGAGCTCTGACATCCCATAAGCCTGGAACTCTGGTGCTTAAGAGGTTTGAAAACACACAAAGATGGTGAAGAGATACAATTGCAAGAGGAAATGGGTCGGCTAAAGGAAATTGAGATCGCCATCAGATACCCAAAAGCTGAAAATTACCGGTAAGTTCTCACAAAAAAAAAAAAAAAAACTGTAGCACTTCAATTGGAAGTGTGCTTTCTCTTTGTGATTCGAAGTAATGTATATAATTTTGGGAGAATTACAGACATTTTTAGGCCCTTAATATTTCAGATATTACATATATATCCCTTAAAGCTGTACCCGTGTCGTCAACGAATAAATTATATTTGGACTCCCTATAATTTTAGATATTCTCAAGTTTAAAATATTATAATTAGATAAAAAATATTCAAATCAAAGATAAAGTATCAACTATTTTAAATTTTACAATCAAAATTTATGTTCTACTATGTTATTTATTAAAATGAAATCAAAAATAAATATCTAATTTTTTTTAAAAAAAATTATAATTAGTATATTATTATATTATCTATTGGAATAAAATTAAAAAATCAAACAAAAGGTCCAATCGTAATGGATACAACATCTTCTATATTTAATTGGGATAATTTGATCGTTTAATAGATTTTGTTAGTTCTGTAATTAATAAGTGATTGAAGTATAAGTCTAAGTGTTATAATGCCTATAAATTTAGGGGATTTGAGTGTAATTTAATAACGGACATCGATGACGGACAACAGGATACACGTGTATAAATTTTAGGAAATTTGTGTATAATATTTTAAATATTAGAGAGTCAAACTGATTAAGTGATAAACTTCAGGATACTTAGATATAATTCTCCCTATAATTTTCGTTCCTTCTATTTGTCTTCTTTTGTTGACAAAATATTCACTGTTTTTTTTAGATAATGTCATTTTGTCTTGTTCCCAACTTGTGTTTATCAAGAAATATCACAATTTTGGGTTGGAAGCAATATTTCCCCTTAATTTTGTCCACCAGATATTCAAGAAATTTTATCACATCATTTGGAATCCGATAATTTGTATATAAATTTGGTAAATACAGATTTATCCCAAATTTATATGTCCCCTAAATAAGAAAAGTTTTCAATTAATTCCTAAATTATATACATGCTTTAAGTTCCAATTTTGTTGGTTATGACTTCATTTACATTAATATTTGTTTGACTTAATTTAGGGATCTATGCACTTTACTATGATAATGAGCCTCTTCTAATGTTGGAACTCATTAGCACTTCAATTATATTAGTGCCTCAGGTCATGAAATAGGATTCATATAGTGTTGCTCTTTCGCTCCCCATCAATGAATAAACACGAGCATATCAAGTTACTGAGAGCTCCCCACTCTCTCTACAGTTTTCTCCACTTTTTTTGGAGTCTTCTTCTTGAGTATATCTCAGAACAACTGCAACAACCCTCCTCCTTCTATTTAGCCACTATGGCCATAAACTAGCCTACTGCTTTCAACATGCTCATCTCACCATACCAATCCCTCTTCTTTTTCTCTATTTCTTAAAACAACTATGGAAAAGCCCCACTTAAAATCCCCCTCATTTGAAGCCACACGAAAGTCCTAGCAACTATTTCTAGTAAGAGACTGTTTTTTTCTACTGAAACACAATCCTCATCTTCAAACAACAACCAATGTAACCTTGAAATAACAACCGATTTTTCCACAAACCCAACCCTCTTATTTTTGCCATTCACACTAAAAACTCTTATACCATGGATACCCACAATCTTGAATCGGCTTCAGTGGCCGAAGATTTGAAAACCAATTCCCACAGCTTCAACTATCCGCAAATATCTTTGTTCACCAACCCATAAAATTCTAGAGAAGTTCAACAGTCCTGTATAATGGGAAAGATTGTATTCGAGACAACATTGAACAAATGGGACGTGAGAAATGAATGACCTTTTGGGTGCATGGAAAACAACATAGGGTTTCTCAATCACACATTGCGAAAAAAACATTTACATGAATGTGTTCAAGGAGATAGGAGAAGAAGGATGGAGAAAAAATTTATGATGAAAGCCCATGGTCAGTTGTCACACCCTATCCCGAAAGTGGGATAGAGTGTGGGTAACTCTAAACTTGCTATCCTTTAATCCATAGTTAAATCAAAGTAATTAACATGTAGAACAATTTCCAAGCCATTAGTAAAAGTATGAACGCAAGACATTCATATATTATAGTGTTACAACATGATTAGGGCACCACACACTTAAACATCTTTAACAACCAACAAAAACTATGTACAATTATGTTACCTGATATGCTAGTCTAGACTGTCAGTGGACACTTTTTACTTCCCATGTTCCTAAAACAAGTAACTGTGGAGGGGTGAGTAAAACCACTTGCTTAGTGAGTACATTTGAAACATACAAAAAAAAAAAAACACCCAAGCATAGCACAATAATCACACAATCCATGCAATAGGATTTAATATCAATATTTGATCAACCAACAATAATTAACGCTACCCGTTTCCGCTCGGTGTCATGTCAATCATAGCTCTATTGTTCATGCCCAACAATCTCAACAAATTTGTCGCTACCATCTATGTCCGTTAGTCTCAGCTAATATAAGGCTACTGTAAATGCTCAGTAGTCTCAGCAGTTGTAATCGTAGAAAAATCACATAAACCTTCATTTTATATATTCAACTCATGACCAAATATCATTACACAACACAAAGTTCATCAACTCACAATTTAGCTATAACCACATAAATATAGCTAATAATAGTCATACATATTTCCAATTAATATGGATCAACATATTTACCTCGGATTCAATTTCAAACACAACTCAATCCTTTTGTATAGTTTTAGCTGAATCTGACGCTGACGTCATTGTCTTTGTACCTAACATACATTGTCACAAATTACATAAATATCATTTACAACCAATGATATCATGCCTCACAAAAGGTCGTTCTACCAGTGGGAAATCACCTTCTACCGTAGAACCTTTTATAGATTGTCATTTTACCGGTATAACACCACTTTTTATTGGTAGAAGCTCGACAGAAACCCTTCTTCATCCTAACTTCTTCCCCAAACATTCTCTTTCAACCCCACAATTTCTAATAAACAAACCAAACATTATAATCCTCAATTACATGATATTTTATATCAATTAAAACATAAAATCCACAAACCAAAATCAAATCTATACGTAAATGAATAAAGCAGGGTTTTTACCTTAAAAAATTCCCTTGAGTTTAATGCTACTGGAAACCCAAATTCATAAACCCACTATGTTCTACCTCTCTTAGCTTCCCAAATTTTGTTCCTCTTCTCCTCACTTTTCCCTTTTTCTTTTCCTCTTCTTTTTCCTTATCCCAGCTACTCTTGTTCAACTCACACACACACATACACACACACATAAAGAAGAACAAGCTATAAGAGACATGTCTCTTATGATTCATATTTTCCTCAAATTCCACTTGGGTCCCCTTACGCCTCTTCCCCTCACACACACACCTCTTAATTTTAAGTACTTAAAAACTCACACTCAAAACATCTCCCCTTTATATGATTTTTCACCCAAATACCATTTAAATTACAAAATTCAACCCCTAGAATTATAATTCAAAATTTATCATTCTCCCATAAATTTATAACTATAATTTAACCCCCAAAATTTAATAAAATGTAATGCAATACATGTACGGGTCTCACAACTGTCCCCTGATTAGTACTTAAATGTAGCATATTATTTTGCCTTTTTAGGACTAATTATACTCTGATGGAGTTTAAATGATGACATTTTAGGTTCTAAAGTGAAAAAAGGGTTCAAGGGCAACAAAAATCACACTTGAATGTAACACCAACACATTAGGGAACAAAACTGGAGAAGCTTGGATCAAAGTCAGAACGTTCGAACATCAACTCACATTCGAACGTTCATTTGGACTATGACAAAATCAGTTTGCTGAGACATAGTGTGTTGCAGTTAAGCACCAGGACCCTGAGGTACTTGAGTACCACGTTGAAACGCCAACTAATATTCGAATGTGCACTCGAGTTGATTGAAGGCCAGATTGATGGAACATGGTGTGTTACAGCAAATAAGGAAGAAAATGTACATGAGTACCACGTTCGAACGCCATTCAACGTTCGAACGTCCCTTGGAATCATTTAAAGTACATACTTCTGCATAGAGTGTGGAAATGAACTTCATAGAAGACCACTTGAGTGGAAAAGGTCAGACCCCATTTGGTGTTCGAACGTTTATAAAGCAAGACCAGAAGACAAGTTCGAACGTCAAACAACATTCGAATGCTCCAAAAGCAAAACAGAAGACAACGTTTGAATGTCGATTCACGTTCAAACGTCCTCCACAGACTGCCTACAGAGTAGTTGATTTTCGTGGGCGACAAATACTATTCACTCATCCTCTCTTATCTCCTACCCCCTCCCTTTCCTTACCTATAAATACTCCCATGTTAGGAGCTTGAGAAAGGAATTCTTCCTCTTGTAGAGTAAAGGGGGAGCAATCTTTTTTTCTTGTAAAGTAAGAGAGTGTTTAGTAATCTAGTTCTTGAACATTTCTTGTTTATGTTTTTATTTTGCATTTGTATAAACCATGATGGAAGCTTAGACTCCCCTTGTAGTTGAAGTCTTTTATTTACTTATGCTAAGTCTTTACATTCATGTTGTCACAACCATGATAGAGGTTTAGACTCCCCTTTGTAGTTGTACTTGCTTTTATTTACAATTATCAAGAGAGATAGCTCATCTTTTTGTTGTGGTGAAAACCCTCCAAAAGTAACTAGCTTTCTTCTACTTTTATTGTTCATGTATTTCACTTCTATTGCTTGAGCGTCCTTCTTTCTTAGAAGAGTGAAACTCTTCCACTTTTTTTAGAGCTTTACCAAAGCCGTGAAAGGTGGAAAGTGATTCACTTATTTTTCATTGAAGATAAGCTCTTTGTTTAGTTTTCTTCACTTAGTAGCACCTCAACTTGGAGGGATGAGT